GGAAAGGTATCATGACGCTCTTTCTGCGGAAACTCATCAAGCATCAAAGTTGCCCTTAATGCCAGTTACATCTATTCATTTGTAGAGCTTATTAAAATGCTTCATAGTCATAAGCCACCTAGATACCTTGAGGCGAAGAAGCTCTGGGAAGAGGAACAAAATGTGGGTAGCATTGTAGTTATTTAGAAGGCTCTGGCCTTTGGCAGGTAACTGCTTAATTAATTCAGCCTGTGTGAACTGTGACTTACACTCCTCTGGATTCAGATAGTTTGTTGCTGCTATGGGTTCATTTAATGGGATGTATTTTAACCCTGGTCTTCTATTTTAATGCTGATCCCTTGGCCGTACTTAGTGAGCGAGCAAGCCACAAGAATATCAAATATAAACTCAGGCATGGGGGGTGGGGGGCTTAAGCAAAATAGCTAATGGTAAGGGGGAGCCAGGAACCCACCCGGGAGACTGTGCTCTCTAACACCACATTATCACCGCCCTCCATTACTCCCTTGCAGTTCTGAACCGTGAGGAATGGCGCCTCCGGTCATCCTTCAGTCCAGTGAGGAACCTGAGAGCTTGCCTTGGTTGGTGCCATCCATCTCACATCTGGCAGCATAAGAACCACACGCACTGAGTGTTATCCCTGCCCCCACGGCCACTCCTCCAATTTACACCCCCTCACTTTTTGCCTGAAGTCTTGTAGTAGCCCCTAACTGGTCTCGTTTGTTCAGTCATTTGTTCAACAGATACGAGTTAGTTGCCATGTGCCAGGCCTCACTAGTCAGCCTTGTCCTCCTACAGTAGAGGTGCCAGAATGACCTGCTAAAGAGTGAATCTGATCATGCTGCAACCATGCCTAAGAAAACTTAACTGGCCCCCTAGGGGTGCCTGAGTGGCTCAGTCGGTTAAGTGTCCCACTCTTGGTTTCGGTTCAGGTCATGGTCTCATGGTTCATGGGTTCAAGCCCCATGCTGACAGTGAGGAGCCTGCTTGGGATTCTCTCTCTCCCTCTCTCTCTGCCCTTCCCCCACTCTCTGTCTCTGTCTGTCTCTCAAAATACAGAAATAAACTCAAAAAAAAAAAAAAGAAAAAGAAAAATGGTCCTCTATCATTTTAAAGGGTCATATGCCTTTTGTAAGATGAACTCTGAATGGCTTGAAATGCATGTATATTGAATGTACCTATGGATTTTTCTGTCCAAAGTTAATTTTAGGAAATGATTAGCAAAGATAAGCAAAAAGGGATACTTTCTCCTCCCCACAGCTTGTCCTGCACAAAGTTGCAGCCATCCAAGGTGTGTGTGTGTGTGTGTTAGACTGGAAAATGTTCTACCATAGTCTACAGAGTTGAAATCAAAGCTTTGAAAAGAAATTGCTTTTTTTTTTTTTAAAGTTTATTTATTCATTTATTGGAGCAGGGAGGGGCGGAGAAAGGAAGACAGAGAATCCCAAGCAGGCTCCACACTGTCAGCGTGGAGCCCAGTGTGGGGCTCGAACCCACGAACTGTGAGATCATGACCTGAGCGGAAGTCAGGAGTCGGATGCTTAACCGACTGAGCCACCCAGGTGCCCCTGAGAGGAAATTGCTTAATGGGACTCTCAGTAGTCTAAGATGAAACCAAGGAAACTTGGATGTTTTTTGTTTTTATTGTTATATTCGTTTAAAATCAATCCGTTGTTGGCTAATAGAACGTAGTAAGCTTTAAATTCATATTAGTGACTGTTGTTATTGATGACATTATTATTATTTCTACAGCATCCCAGAAACACTCTGGTCTTCCTGCCTCTGAGTCTTTATTTTTTCAGTTCACTGAGTACTGCTCCATCGCCTCCCGTAAATGACATTTCTGCAGTAATTCTTGAACTCCGAGGGTTGCCAAACTTCTATTCCAGGCCATATTCTCTTGGGGACATTGGAAGATTCTCCATACCCCCTCCCCCTTTGTTTTTTTTAAAGGCTCCTTTGCAAGCCCTTTCTCCACTCAGACCATTGTCTCCATCATCCAGAGCACATTGTCTCTCACCCTTGCTGTTCTCCATTGCCTAGAATCCCCTCCATCTACCACAGCAGGACACTGTAGTGGGTTAAAGGAAGACTCTCCCATTTACTGCCTGCGCGACCATGGGCACATGAGTTCCACTCTCTGAGCCATATAAACCTACCACATAAGGTAGGCTTTATACCCATGTATCCAGTTTCCTCATTGGACACATGGGTATAAAACCTACCTTATATGGTTATTGTGAGGATGGAAAGAGATACCAGATACCCAGTGCCTGGCACCTGGGAAAAGCGCTAACTGATGCTAGCTGTCCCAAAATTCAAATCCCAGTTCATCCGTGAACCCTTAATTACCTCTTCTCATCTACACAGGAATCTCTCTGTTCTCCCACCTTTGACTGCTCTTATAGTAGTTAATTTTTCATATTTTGATGCATTATTCTTCTCAGATAGACTGCAAAGTGAACCAGGGCATAGGTCATGCCTTATGTCAACGCAAGAGGCTACAGGAGCCAGACAAGGAACAGAAAATAGATTGGTGTCAGAAAAGTAGGGAGGAGTGAGGACTCTGGCCAACTCGAGGGCACACCTACCTCTGGCCAATTATTGTCATGCGGGAATATGGGCCTAGCATTGCCAGATCTCAGCCTTTTCACAAGAAGCCAGATTCTTAGGGGAAATGTCCTGAATTTTAAAAGCCAGGCCAACAATATTGAGGCCACGCAAAGCATGTCTGTGAGACCCCAGTTTGTGAAAGGTGCCGTATTTGGATGGCCCATACCAGTTTGTATGTAAACTGGTCATGTGGACCTCTGAACTCACTTTTATAGAGAAACAGTGCTGTGAATGGCAGTTAGGGGTCCAGGCTAAGCTAGAAGGCTGATTCCCATTCATACCAGACCTGAAGCTTAGGACAGTCCCAAGAAATCTCATCTCTAGGTGAAAGCATTTTCCCACGGGGAGCCACATCTAATGTTTGTTCTAATTTCCGATGTCAGGGACATGTATACTAGAATGTAAGCCCTTTCAGGCCAGGGCCTTTGTTTTGCTCTCTGCTGTTTCCTTAATGTCGAGAGCAGTGCCTGGAACTCAATAAATATTTGTTGAATTTTAAAGATTACCTGTATCTCTATCCATCTGCCCACCATTTAATCTATTCCCTACATGCAAACAAGGACTGTCTTGCTCACCAAGTGCTCCCCAGCACTTGGCAGGTGGTAGGAGATCAATAAGTATTTGTGGAATGAATATATAACTGCAACGATCCATCCACCAGACACTTAATTGAGCACCTGCTGGGTGCCAAGGAGTATGTTGGCCTTCAAGGATGCAGGAGTGACTCAGACACCATGCCAACCTCAAGGAATTAGGTCACCCAGAAAGGATTGCATAAACGGTTTCCCGGAACACTTCTAAAAATGATCAGGAGTTACTCAGTGCTCCCCTTCCCAGAAGAAGGGGGACTAGGTGAGGTGATGAGACCACTCAGCACCAGGCTTCTTCATTTATCTGGGCGTGCCTAGGGTTATATTCATTGGTAGGGTTTGGATGTGAAATGATTGAATTGATTTTCTTTCAACCACATGCTGGAATTAGCACAGTGAGCACTGCCCTTTCAAGTGGCCACCTCAGGAGGCCGTGTCCTCATTCTGCTTCACAGTCACGGCAGGACTGGACCACTTCTTTGGCAAGTGCCCCTGAGAAGTTAGAAGCCATCTGAGGATATTTATTTCACTGCTCTAGAATCTTGCCTTATTTTTGTCTCTGCCCCCACTCCCCACCCCACAACAAATGTTTGAGATGAAAGGGCTATTCCAGTCACTTTATTCCTCAAACTTGGTTCCAAATGACTTTGGGTCGTTTCCAAAAATCCAGTTTGTGATCCAAAGAGAAATATCTTCTGTTCGTGAGTTAATTGAACAGTGTGTGCCCCAGGCTCTGAAAGCAGCAGGCCCAAAGAGACGTCCCCAAGTTGTCATGTGCCCTGGCAGTTCTGCTGGAAGAAGTGTTCTTAAACCTTTCAATGTGTCTATGAAAAAGGGGGCAGGATTCTTTTTGATGCCTACACTCTGGTGTTTAGGTGAAAGAGGGGAAAATAGGATAACCTGTATCTAGTTTATTTTTATATCCCAAGATCTAGCACCCATTCAGGACATATGGGCACCCAAAGATGTTTTAAGGAGAGGATAGGTGTATGATGGTGAGGTCCAACACCTACTAAGTGTTTATCGTGTGCCAGGCACCATGCCTGCACGTGTCACACATTCGACTGTCACAACAGCTTATGAGGCGATCACAGCCAGCACCTCCAAAAGGAAACCCTACCTAAGGGTAAATAACTTGCTCAAGGTCACCAAGCCAGCAAGTGACAACACTGGGGTTTGAATCCCCATGGAAAGTCCCTACCCTAGACCCTTAAACTAGGGTCATCACGAAGGTGATGGGTATAGAATCGTAATTCCAGCACAGCAGAGACAATCCTGAAGAAACCAGAGGGTTCGGCTCCCGCTGTGATCCTAAAACCTTCCTTCAGTCAGTGGATTACTGGCTGTCCCACTGTCTGGTTTCTCCTTGGGTGTTTGTTTTCCCACGGCTATCCCACCGCACTGCTCTTGTTAGCAAAGACGCTCCGACACTGGGACACCTGTTAGAAATGGCTACACGAGTGAGTGTGTGGTTCGAAGCTCGGCTGACTGGGGCACCTACAGGATCCTGTATATCACTTTGGGAGTTTGGGGGAACCTGATCCACCCAGACCAATGGCAGCATGGAAGAGAGGGACTGGGAATTTGAGCTGAAAGCGATCCGAGGTCACACAGCCACGGGGGCTAGAAGTCCGATCCTGCCGACCTACCAACTTCACGCGTGACCATGTGGCTTTGTCCTCCTGGGCTTCAGTTTCCCCATCTGTAGGAACACTTCTCTTCAAGTCCTCCTCTGGAGGAGAGCTAGAAAGACCATGCCCTTCTTGCTTGAGGCTTGCTCATTGGGCATTCATTCCACAGGCTGGAGGAGAACTATGAGATCGCGGAGGGGGTCTGCATCCCTCGCAGCGCCCTCTACATGCATTACCTGGACTTCTGCGAGAAGAATGACACCCAGCCTGTCAACGCGGCCAGCTTTGGAAAGGTGAGTCCAGCCTCCCCAGGCTTATTCCTATCCTTCCCCTCTTCCCAGTAATTTTTGCACTGTTCTTAATCATTTTGAACATCTTAATTGCTTTTTTTTAAAGTTGCTTTGGTAACTTAAATACTTTGGTAACTTTGCTATAATACTTTGCTGTAAAAAGTTCAAAGGCTTATTAGCAAGGTAATACCAAGCCCAATACCAAAACAAAGTAATACCGAAGTATGAAAACTTCCACACGATTCAGACAGGTCATAGAGTAAAAAGGGAACACCTAACTGGACTTTCCTCAGTACTCAATTTGCAGGAAGTGACTTCTTTCCTTCCGAGGGACAAATATTAGACTCCCAAGTGTGTTCCATGTCTGTCAGTGAGTCTGGGGCAGGCAAACTGCTTGCGTCTGTAATGTGAAAGCCTTGGAGAAGCTGGAAGATGGCCTTACATCATTAGCTTAGAGATCTGAGAATCCTCTGCTGGGAGTGGTCTTATTTGCAATATTACCGCAGGCTTGGCTGTTGTCTGTCTCATGACAAAAACATTTTCCACACTTGGGACTCTGTCCACAAAAACTCATTGTCACTGATCATTCACATTTAACAGGCCAAGGAAAGCTGTTGGAGCACTCTTTCTTTTTTTTAATGTTTATTTTTGAGAGAGAGAGAGAGAGCAGGGGAGGGGCAGAGAGAGGGAGACATAGAATCTGAAGGAGGCTCCAGGCTCTGAGCTGTCAGCACAGAGCCCGATGCGGGGTTTGAATTCACAAACTGTGAGATCATGACCAAGCCAAAGTCGGACGCTTAACCAAGTGAGCCACCCAGGTGCCCCAGAGTACTTTTAAAGACTGATCATTGTCTATTTGATAGATAAAAATACGGATTTTTACACCTGCATAATACCCAATTTAATTTGAGACAGTACATCCGACCTGTTTCTCCTTAGCTTCTTTTTCCTATGTATAGTTTTTTACTGCATCCACTAACAAAAAGATAGGCAGGCTGATTTGGCACCACTGTTCCTCACCAGTTTTCTGAGTGCGGGCATAACATGGACTGAACCAGCAAAAACAAGCCACTGTTTATGTTTCAGGAATTCCCTTTTCCCAACAGATAAAATCATCAGCAGGAAAAAGAGAAAAGAGAGTAGTGTCAGGTCTGAGCCCACCCCCCGGAGGGTTTAAAACTGAGTGGCTGGGAATTGGCTCCACTCAATAAATGGGAAGATGCTCCGTGGTGACTTAGGGAAGGGCATATGTTTTTGTGATGCATTAACCCTGTTTTTCATACGTGATGATAATTTTTTTTTAAGTCAGTGGAGACACCACCTTTGCTGTTTCTTCCGTTTGTGTCTTCAGTCCATCGGTGTTGGCTGAGATGGGCTGCGTGGGCGGCACTGTGTTCTGGGGAAAACGAGAAGGGAATCCAGTATGGGTCCCGCTTGTGGAGAGGCTCACGGTCTAGGGAGGGAGTCGGTGAGCTCCTCAGCAGGCGGGAGACAGAAGAGCACACCCGGAATCCAGGGGATCCTGGAGCTTTGTCACACGTCTGGGGTCCTGGGACATTCACTCGCATCCACACTTCCTCATGGCGGCCACAGTGGAGAGTCCAGGATAGGGCCTCCGATGGAGGGACAGGTGGGGTGAACCAAGAGATCAACAATCTAACTCTCCTGGACTAATCGCTTAACCTCTCTGAGCCTCAGCCCTCTCTGCTGTGAACTGGGAATCAACCCCTCCCTTCCTCATGGGGATGCTGCAGGATTCAAGGGAGATGATTGTCAGTGGATGACGTGTGGTATATGTATGTCCCTGTCCAGGGCAGGCAAGTGGCTTGGCTTGGTAATGCAAAAGCCTTGGAGAAACCAGGAAATGAATCTTCAGGTACTATTCCCTCAGTCATCTGATAGGTCAGGTACAGTGACACCCACACGTGCCATTGCAGTTGTTGTTATGAATTTCCCCATGAGCTGTTTGTGCACAGATTCTGGGGTGGGGGAAAGACCATAAAAACACAAATCCTCGCCATATCTAGAAACTCCATTTTGCCCAAATAAGGACCTTTTCTTTCCTTTTTCTCACTTCTGTAACACTGTTGTCAGCTCAGGGTTTCCTTGACTTTGTGATCTAAGTAAAATCAATTTAACTCAGCCCCTCCTCTCCACTCCCTGGGTGTTAGCTTTCTCAGACCCACCTTGACCTGAGACTCTTTCTTCTGTCTACACCACTTCTCTCTACCTGTGCTGTTCAAGACGGTAGCTGTGAGCCACATATGGTTGTTCAACTTAAACAGAATTAAAAATTCAGTTCCTCAGTCACATGAGCCATATTTCAGATGCTCACTGGCCACATGTCACTAGAGGCTGTCGTATTGGACAGTGCACATAGAACATTTCCATCATCACAGAAAGTATTCTTGGACGGCCCTGTTCTGAACTACCATGAGCCAAGGATGAAACTCAGAGTCCTCTTTGATTTGCACAAGACAGCCCGCAGAAAGCATTTGTGACCCCAGTAGACTGAAGTTTGAAGGAGGGATTTACATCCCGGACAGCATCTAATGGAACAGACATCCCCATTCCAGAATGCTCTCCCACCTCCATACCACACTGGAGGCTCCCTGGGCCTCCCCCTGCCAGTTCCCCACAGCCAGTCCCAGCCCCCTCTGCTCTGCCACCCCCCCTTTCCCCTTCTGCCACCTCCCACTGCTCAGCCCCCCTTCCTCCTCGGGACAACCTCCACCAGATCACCTCTGTTCTCTAATCCTTGGTCCTACTGACATCTATGTCCACAGGTCTTACTTTCAAAATATTGTTTCCAAATGATAACTTTTCTCTCTAAGAATTACAGTGCCAGCTGCTTCCAAAATAGTCATTAAAAAAAGACATCCAAACTCAGTCCAAAAGCAATGACATACTCTAATGGTATTAAAAGCACAAATGCAAAAGTGCTTTGCAGGTACCTTGCCATTGATTTCAAATGCACTGGAAATTCGGGCTGTCCTTCCAGCCACAGAGGACAGAAGGAGCCCGCTGAGGGTTTCTACACTGAGCTTGTTGAACTGAAATCCCGGTCATGCTCGCCCTTCCTAAGGGCTCCCAGCTGCAGCTGCCATCCCCCCGTAGAGAAAGGGACTGGTTGTTCTGTGAAGCCTGGGGTGTAATTGCGGGCAGCCTTCCTTTGAGCAGATCCATCCAAACTTGCTGCTATTCATCTATGAACTTGTAACTCTGCGTCGGCAAGGTTCAATATTTCAGCTTCATTTTTAGAGAAAAATTTGGTGATAGTCTTCCACCACGCCACCGCCCCCGCCCCCCGCCATCCGGGCAACCCCCCACTCTCCTCCCCAGCTTGCAAATGGGCTGAGGTGAAACAGCATCAGCGGTGAGGCTCTCTGCCCACCCCCTCCCATGTGGCCTGGTGGGGATACTGTCCTTGATAAAGCGAGTGGACGGCAGCAATAGTTTTGCTGCAGGGAAGAACTGAAAGAGATCCTCTTTCCAGCACTGCGGCCAAGCCCCATAAGCGCTGGCTTCCAGTAAGCCCGTATTGACTTTGGGTCCCAGAATTGATTGAGGCATCACAGAGAATGCTGAAGCTTCAAGCTGTACTGGGCTTGCGCCTGCCTTTCTGTTGGCTAGGGTAACGAAAGGTCACCCGGCTTGGAGTCACTTCACTTTCCTGAGCTCCCATTTCCTTACCTCTAGACGGGAAGAATCCCTCACAAATGACTCTAGGGATAAAATGAGACGCTGCTTAGGAGAGCATTTTTAACATTGTAAGGCATTCTACCAATGGAAGAAGCCACCGTTCTCTAAAACTGGCCTCACTCCATCCTGTTTCCTCTGTTTCCTACCATGCTTTTTCTTTATAGCACTTATAGCTGTCTGAACTGTTACATATGTGATATAACTAATATATTACATGTTATATGTATAATTATCTGTATGGCATCATTGCCTGTTATTCTACCTCAGTATATTACAGATAATGTTCATATGACATAATATATATGTACATATGTATGTTAATCATATATGTATGTATATATGTGTGTGTGTGTATGTGTGTATATATATCTATATATCTATATATCTATATATCTATATCTATATCTATATCTATATCTATATCTATATCTATATCTATATCTATCTGTATGTTGCTTGTGTTTTATTTGCCTCCTTCTCTAGAATGGAAGCTCCATGAGGCCTTTTTTTTGTTCACTATGCATCCCTAACTCCCAGAATAGCGCCTGGCACATAATAGACCCTCAGATATTTATTGAAGATTGAATGACTTGTGTTATTGCTATTTGCCAAGGACGCTGAAATCGTTTGATACACGTGAATGTGTTTAGCCTGTATGATGCCCATATGAAACAGGCATTGTATCAATTTTCCCTTACCCATTTGCTGGGCACGGATGAACTTGTCCAGGTACCAATGGAAACTGGTTGTATTTTCACTTACTTTGAAGGGCTACCTTCAAAGTCCTCTGCTCAGCTGTCCTGCTCTGCCCTCCGATGACATCACAGGGAAACCCCACAGCATCCCAACCATGTTCAGCCATCGTATTGGTGTTGGTTAGAAGATTAACTCATTTTCAGCTATGAAAAAGTCCCACTCGGTCCAGTTTAAAACATGCATCTCACATGCAAGGCAGAGCCTCTCCCTTCCTGGGGCTCAGAATTTGCTCTGTCAAAGAGGGGCAGGGTGGGTGCTTCCTTCCTCCCTCTGTCTTCTGGCTTCTCCAGGGCTGGAGCAGAGGGGCATCAGAGGAGTGTGAAAGAAGGAAAGTCAGCGGGACTCATTTTGAGGGCTCTTCCCGCCAGCGCCCTCTGCTGGAATGGCCATCCATCCGGCTGCAGGAATGAGTCCAGTCATGGGTTGGGGGGAACCCCGTGGATCTCCATCCACAATGGCTGAAGGGATGTGCTCTCCAGCTGACTTTCCACCACCCACCCCCAGGCTGCTCTTGCTCCTCCGCTGAGGATCCCCCATCCGGCTCC